GCTTGGATTTAGTGATTCCCTAATCTCTAAGAATTTATCCTCATGAAAGAAAATTAACTATTTAATTTTAAGTTCACACTTTAGGTAAATTATTTTATCAATGTGAATATTCACCAAAGTTCGCACACATTAGTGTTTAAAAATTAAAATGCTGAAATTGCAATATTACAAGTGAAGAAAGAAAAAGCTATGCTACTGTTGCTGAAACTAAAACAGTCATTTTATGTCATGCATAGGTTTCACAATGCACACTTATGTAAAATAAATATTTTACCTTTCTTTACAACTCCAAGAAGAAGCTAATGATGAAGCCACTGGAGAACTTGACTTAATGATTAAGAATGTTTGGCTTGTGAATCTGGTTAGTGCCAACTTAATACAAGGTAATCAGGGCACTTATTAACAAAACTGTCCCCCAAATGGAAAAAAATAATAAAGAAGCAAAAGAACTTAATCTATACCAAAAGTAAAACCAATACAGTGTTCTGCCTCTCTTAGGTAAGTCCTGGAAAACAACAACTCTATGGGGTTAGAAATATAAACCAAGAAACTCATTTTCTCGTAGTATTTAGCAATGAATTAGGCTAAATTATTCTTGATTGAGTTATAAACCCAATTTTAAGATTTATTACAGATATTGGGGTGAGAGGCAGTGTGTAATGAGTTTCATACAGTATTTTTCACTATCCAAAACATATTGCTCTTAACGTTTTAAAGCTGTATCTTCAAAAGTTAAGTGAAATGAGCCCTAATTCCAGTGCTCAACGATTTACTCATTATGACACAATAGACTATTATATGTAAGATACACTATAATGCCAATTAATCCTAAGTGCTATAAAGAAAAACAAAACAGGCTAAGTGGGTAGTAAATGACAAAGAGTGCTACTTTTGAAAGGCTGGCAAGAAAGGCTCATTTGGTATGATGGCATTCTAACAGAGAACTACATTATATATTAATTAATAGCTGAAGTACTAACATTCCTGGCAGAGAGAACAGCCAGGGCAAAGGCCCTGGGACAGGCATGTGTTTGGCAAGTTGAAGAAACAGCAAGAAGTCAGAGTCTGGAGAACAGCTGGAGATGGAAGGGGGGGATACTGGAAATCAAGGTAGAGAGATACTAGATTTCATATCCTGAAATGGCTATAGACATGTGCGTGTTTATGATTTTATTTTAAGGGAAATGGAAGCTATTTGAGGCTGGAGAGGAGGTCAATCAGTGGTCTTTAAATAAATGCTCAAATAAGTGCAACAAACAGTTGCCTAACTGGAAAAATAAAACAAAAACCATCATCCTAAGTAGTATACAGAGAAATGGCTATTGAAGAAATGTTTATTCCAGCTCTGAAATTTTAGAATTCTACAACTCCCTGGTAGGAAGGATGGAAGCAAAATTCCAGTGCTCATTGGAGCCAGGAATTAAGTTTCAACACCCTCCCAATACACTGCATATAAATATAAACATGATTTTAAAATAATAGAACATAATTGTATAGAAACCAAAATATGACACATCCTCTTTTATTTAAAATAGAGCTCTATATACATCACAAAAAACAAGTGCAAGAAGTGCTTCATTTATTGTCTTTGCCACTTTACAAAACAATACATTTTCAGAAAATGCATACATAAAAATATAACATTTAGGCAGATAAATATTTACATCTGAAGACAGATGAAAGTTATGCAATAATATTAAAAAGCTTTAAAATAAATAACTTTTATGACTTGCTGTTGGTAAAGTTAAACATTTTGGTATAAAGGCTATCACTGAGTTTTTACTAAATTCTAAAATACTATTATTTTTAAATAAAATAAGTTTTTATATATTACTATAAAATGCATATTTTCACAAACTAGAAATTAATGAAACATCTGAATATCATTCATTTCTCTTTGGAATTTGGAATTCTCTTCACCTTTCCACCATTAAAATGTAACTACTAAAATCTCCATCTGCATATTTTTGATACAATTTATTGTCCAATTCTCATTTTAAAGCCTAATTTACTTTTTCATATTCCTTATATACATTCATTTGGGCCTGACTGTTGAAAGGCAATATCTTTTTAACATACTTAAGAATATTAGCTAGCTTACAAAAAAGTCTTTACAACAGTGATTCTTTTCACAGTAGTTCAAGAGTTCAAGGCATGTTTTGCAATGTCAAAATGCAATGGTTTTGACATTTGTAATATGTTCTTAGGTATAAGAAGAGTCACGCTACCAAAAGAAAAGTATAATTAGTATTAGTACTTTGAAAGTCAATCCAAAATTCCTCTTTTGAGATGTGAATCTAATTTTCTGTTTTTAGGGCATTTTAAAACCTGAAACACAGATCAAGTTTGAATAATCTTCACCAGTCTAGGATCAGAAGAGTACACGAATTTGACACTAGTCATTGTGAAAACAAACTAGAATTTAATATTTTGCCTCAGATACTCTTACTTTGTATAAAGAGAAAAAAAGAGCTGGATCCTTAAAAATACTTCATTACTATTATTTGGTCTATGGGGGAAATGAAAATATTGGTAAATCTCGTTCTATTCTTGTATTTATTAGACATAATTTAGGCAAGTAATCCTCTCTTCACAAGCAAAGTCAATAAATAGCCTCATGCATGGAATGAAAACTCTATGGAGATATTCAAGTCAGGGTCCATGCGCTTTGTTGCAGATTGTCTGAGTTAAAAAAATTAAATCAACAAGATAAACATACAACCTCTCTCCTTTTGGAAATGCCAGGATGAAAAATCGAAACATTTTTTCTTCTAAGTTCTCTGTTCAATTTGCAGATGTCTAAAATTATTTTGAATTTTCCCTTTCTGATGATATATAAGCATGGCCATTACCTGAAGATATATAAGCGTATAAGGTGCTTTTCTGCAATATATAAAATTATGTCTGGGTTGAGGAGCCAAGTGCAGTTTGGATTTTGGCCCCGACCTGCTCTTCCCTGGGAGTATTTGTGTAGAGCACAACCTGCCCAACTGGATGTGGTGACAGTGGATATAAAGTTAATTTCCTAATGCATTCAGATTCATAGTGGCCCTGTTAACATTCAGATTTATGTAACTCATAGTAAAAATCTTGCAGTTGAAATTGTTAGGTCTGGAGAGAAAATTCTAAGATAACATGGACCAATGATCAGGAAATACAGTCACATCTGAAAATATTAAAATCTAAGATGAGATGGGGAGCATACTCTCCCAAATGTTATAGAGAAGTATCCTGACAGTTCTTAATAAAGGAATTTTAAAATGGGGATTATTACCTAATTTCAATATACTATTATATTCCAAACCGTATGACATATGGCTTAGTTTAAAAAGATGGCAAAAGTAAAACAAAGCAATGGTATGAAACAGTAAAAATAAATTTAGTGATTACATTATGGGACATATATTTTACATTGTCTTTCCGAGTCACTATCTCTCAAGTGGAAGCTACTATTAAAGCAAAAGTAGACATTCTTTATATGTTAGCTAAAAGCTAGGCTATAACTAGATAGCCAGTCTTTTTAAAGTTTAAAAGAAAGCCATCTCTGCCTTTACAAGTATCCTTTTTATGATGTCAAGTGAAGAATTACTGGAGAAGTCATGAGGTGAGACCTCTTATACAAAGGTGGGGAAATTAAAGTCTCCTTAAGAAGTTCAATGTACAGCTGGGCGCGGTGGCTCACTCCTGTAATCCTAGCACTCTAGGAGGCCGAGGCGGGTGGATTGCTCGAGGTCAGGAATTCGAAACCAGCCTGAGCAAGAGCGAGACCCCATCTCTACTATAAAGAGAAAGAAATTAATTGGCCAACTAACATATATAGAAAAAATTAGCCGGGCATAGTGGTGCATGCCTGTAGTCCCAGCTACTCAGGAGGCTGAGGCAGAAGGATCGCTTGAGCCCAGGAGTCTGAGGTTGCTGTGAGCTAGACTGACGCCACGGTACTCACTCCAGCCTGGGCAACAAAGTGAGACTCTGTCTCAAAAAAAAAAAAGAAGTTTAATGTATAGTAATCTGGACAGGGCTAGCATATAACTAAGGAAAGACAGGAATTATAGAGTGATTTGGGATTGATGAAATCAGACAAACATATATTTTTAATGCAGTGAAAGAAGATGAAAGTTGAAGATAAACTAATAAGAAACTAAGAAAAAGAAAAAAAAAGTCAAATAATACGCCACTAGACAAAGTCCCAGGTTCAAATTATCTTTCACTCCCCATTCCAATGCATAAAGAGAAAGAGCAATCCTTACAGAAAGTGGGGAGGGTGTCACGAAGCTTCTCTAATCACTACTTACACTAAGAAATCCTATACTCTCACAGTTCATAAATTTTACTTGTCAATTTTATGAGCACTCCAATGGTTGCCTACCCAGTTTGACAACTATGTTGCACCTCTCTCTCTTAGCCTATTTAAATGTTTCTCACTGACCTCACCCTGAGTGAGCAAATGATTGTAGTAGAAATACAAAGAGATGTAGCATTTTTGTCATTGTCAAGTGACACATTAGTGTACATTCAAGGTACGTTTAGATGCATGCTAATTGATTTTTTAGTTAGTACGAGTTGGGACTATGGGAGGGCACAGAGCCCGATGTCACCACTGGGTTGCTGTATCAGTTCTGCTACTACAGGGTAGCCATTTAATCTATGATCCGTGGTTTCTTCATCTATAAAATATTGGAATCAAGTTATGAAATGTCTTGGGTTCTTTCTAATTCCCAAATCTGATTTTTGTTTTTGGCTGTGACACATCTGAAATAATTTAGACCATGAAGGGATTCCCTTTCACTAGAAGGCTACAATCCAGAATGATTAAGTTAAGTAATAGTTATTTTTTTTTTTAATTAGATACTAATGATAGTTTTGGAAGACAGTGAGGGAATAGTAAAAAATAAAAAAGGTGAGAAAAACAATGAAACATAAAGAACGACTAGATAAAAAAAGAAAATCAGATATCTGAATATTTGCAGTAAAATGCTTTTTTTTTAAAATGCCTGTATTATAAAAATTCTACTTAATATTAAAATTTTTATGAAAATTTTACACTCCAACCTACTTTTTTTGTTGTTTACAAGAAGCTCTCAAGATCAAAGGGATTACTGTTGTCATTAAAATAGTGAATAAAGTCCAGGTAGGCATTACCATATGGAGCTAGAACAAAGCACTGCCAAACACAGAAGTGGTATGTTTCACAAAAGAAAAGAGGTTTAGCATATCTTTGAAAGCCACAATGGCACCATTTTAAGATACTAATACTAAACATTTCTAAGTAGCTTATAATGTTGTATTTGTGAACTTATTTAAAGGAATGATTATTGAAGACATCAACTGCCAACTTTTATCCATTTGCTACTATTAATTTCCTGATGGAAAATAAAATCTCCACATTTTAAATAAATTTATTTAATCAAACACATTTTCACATTTATTTTAATCAATCAAAAACCATCCCCTAACAAGCAATTTTAAGTTGTTCACTCAAACTTTGCATATAATGTCAAAGGTCAGATCCCTGCTTTCAGCTTATTTGCTAAGGAGGTTCCCTGGTACTTTGGCTTAGACTCCAAGACAGCCCTGAGTTTTCTCTGCCCCAGTAACTCACATGGTGGCAAAATTTTAGGATAGTAGAAGTCGTTTTGTTTTGCTTTTGTTTGGTAATTCTACAATAGAACTATTAAAATAATAAGTTATTGTAGAACTTTGAACCTAATGAATCTATTGTAGATTTCATTTTTTAAATAAAAGCTGATTTTGAATTTTTCAGACACTTGCAACCAGGTTACTATTTTCATACAATCATGGAAATTTAAAATGCAAAGTTAATTGAAAGTATAAAGATGAAAAGCAAGTGCTATGCCTAAAATAGTGCACGACAGTCATGTTTCACTTAACTCTCAAGTCAGAACATAAATTAAGAATTCTAGATGTGACATGCCAAATATTTTAGACATAGAAGAAAGCATACAACAGAATCTGTACCAATTACAAACTTAAACGCATAACTTACAAGGCAACAAGTTCATGCTGAGATATTGACAACAAATAATGTTTCTCTTATTTTCAGAAAGTGATGCTGCATATAAATCCCATTTCTACTTCATACAGTACTGAAAATTCATAATAGCATTTTCCCCAGTCTTGCATTATGACCAAATGCCCAAATATCTGAAAGGAGCAAAGGACACTGATAGTTTGAGGCTAACCTAAGAAGAATACTTTTTGCTCACAACAGAATTTAAAAGAGTAAATATTGCACAATGGGACTCCATTAAAAACAAATAATATAAAACTTAACAGCATAGGTATATACAGTAAATCTGCCTTATGCTCTCAACTTTATCCTATTTTTATAAGTGAGCATTTTCTATGCATAATCCTATTGAGAGTTTAAGAAAAATTACAGCTTTTAACATTTCCTCATCATTTTTGTTGCTCTACCCCCTTTCTTAAAAAAAATGTATTTTGTAATTGAAATATAAGACTATTCAGTTAAGAGTTATAGTTAACCAACGCAAGAACAAAAAAATGTACCTCAAAATGTACAACCATACTGATTTCTCCAGAGTGAAAGTCGAACTGATAAAATGTGAAATTACATTTAGACATTCTTAGTAAACTATAAAACATAAGGAAAATGGAGATGTTAAAAATTCCTCTCTTAAAAATTCAGTAAGTATAAAGTGAATATGTATTTAAGAGAATAAAACAGAAAATATTATTTTTGTTTATTTGAGACTAGAGTACAACCATAGTAAATATTAAATAAATAATTTTATTTTCATATATGCAGAAACAATCTATGAGAAATCAAGGTAGCAAGCACAAGCAAGGTTACCCCTTTTTAAATAAGCTCTTTTAAAAAATCCCTTCAATAGGCACTTCTTAAAACTGATGATATATTTAGATTATCTCTAATATCCAAATAAAGATACTTTCTAAATGTGTTGCAGATTGAAAGTGATTTTCAACCTATTCTAGAAACCCACTGTCACACAGAACTCAAGACATCCCACTTTGTATTTTATCTGTCAATTTACTTCCTTCCCCCACACACTCACATCCCTGTTCCTATTCCCAAATTAGATTTTAAAATCCCTGAGGGCAGGACCTCTCTATTTTTTTATTCTCTCTTGCATCTAATATTGTGGCAAGCAAGATATGAAGTGCCCCGTGATTATTTAATAAATGGATGAATGCATGAATGAGAATGGAAGTATATGCAAAACCCCATAGCTGTCAGTATTTTTTTTTTTGCCTTCTTTATTTTCAACTTAGTCAAATGAAGATGGATTCAGTAACATATTTCCATAGTGAACTGAAATATAATCACTAAATTATGCTCTATGTGAAAATACATAGGTATATCCAGCAGAACACTGTTACTCAAGTTGCACTTTATAGAACACTTAAATGTGGGATCATAAAAATATTTCCCCTCCTCCTAATAAAAGGGTTCCATGATGATCAAATAATTTGAGAAATCCTGTTTTAGAAAATCAAGTAACATTTCTTTACTGTTAACATTTACTTTACTCCTCAATGTACATTATATGCTAATGTGCAGTATTACTTTCTAAGAAGCTATCAAAGAATACTTTTGGTCTTGGATCATCTCAGCAGGAGAATGTTCTAAGAAACAGAGTTTGGAAAAAAAATGTTTTAGAATAATAAAAGACACCATGTTAAATCTCTTTCACCAAAGCGGTATTATAAATTTGAAGGACATATTTAATGTCCCATTAAATATTCGTCACTCTGTCTCCACAGAAAGTAGAATGAAAGCAAAACCATCATGGGCATCTTTCTGCACCAACTTGCTCATTTTGAAAGGGTAGAGAAATATCTATTTACTGTTGCTGATACCCTCTGTAGGGTTTGGTTGTTACACTTCATTGAAGAGTTTTCATTTTCCTCAAAATATTTCCTTGCTTCCTGTTCCTTTTCTGTCCCTTTCTTTCTAAATGTGTATGTGCAAAAGTAATAGAGACCTCTGAATTACATCTTAAAGACGTCTTCAGATAATGGATAGTTATATCTGATTAATCTGTGCAGGTATTTAGAAAACATTAATATTCACTAACAAATGGGGTAACTGATATTTCTATGAGAAAAATGTCAATAGATATGAGTCTGAGATCCCATGCAGGTACATTGTGATTCTGCAAAATAACTCAATGTGACTTCTGAATGACTAAACTACAAATATCATAATAAAAGATGTTTTTTCATAGGGAGGAAAGAACTAAGGGAATTCAAGGGAAAGTAGGAGGCTAGCTAACTCTACAGTGTTGATTATCCTAAGATTTGGACCTAGTGCCAGCTCTGCCATTAGCTGCATGACTTTGGGACATTTCCCAGTGTCCCACAATATCAGGTGTCTCTTTTGTAAATAGGAGGAAGTTAAGGTTAGTGGTTTTCAAACTATCTGCCCAGGGACTGCTGTAGTAGTGAATTATGAAAGTAGGGGAACAGAGGGAAGTGGACCAAGCAAGTAGGACTCTGACCTCACATCTTCCACTGAGCAGCTCCACTTCTACATGTTTTATATATTAGAATTTAGAGCAACTTTTATTTTTAAAAAAGGTCCTGCTAATTTAAAAAGGGAAAACCATAGATTGCATGACCTAAAGTTCTGTTTTCATATAACATGCTCTAGTTCACATTCATGAACATGTTCTCATCTCAGAAAAAAAGAAGGCTTTTACATTTTTTTATTCATTCATGTGCTCTTGGTTCAAGTAAAATAAAACCTTAATGACTTTATTATTTTTACACAGCTTATTTTACACTTTCATAATATCATTCTTTCTTACTAAATAAAAAGATGAGTTAACGTGTTGCTTTTCAAAATAAAATTAAACACAACACGGAGACGGGATGAAGTCAACTCCTGCTCATGCTTAACTTTAGAGTTATCTTTTCATGCTGCCTACGGGCACTTAAATACTGTACTGCATTATCTTTGAGGTAGAACAACAACAACAAAAAAAGGCAAAACATTCACATAAAGAGGGAAATGGGAGAGAAAGCTGTGAGAGATTTCTTTTTAACACAATCATCATCATCAGGCTTTGCAGTCTTCTTTGACACAAAGTTGAGAAATAGTCTTCTTAACACGAAGGGCAGTTAGGCGGGCTGCCCCGTTGGCATACCAACACTCACGCATTACTCTCCCCATGATGCGGAGTGCCTTTAAGAGAGAGAAAAATATCAAAGACTTTAGCTACTCACATAAAACAGAGCGAAAAAGAAGCAAAACCACAACCCAGGAATTGGTACTAAGATTAAATATATATATATGATCTTGTTATGTAGCCCAGGCTGGAGTGCAGTGGCTATTCATATGCATGATCATAGCATATTTCACGAAAGACATGAAGGGACATAGGAAGGGTTGGAAGTTACCTGTATCTTCATTTGGGTGATGAGTACACGTAGGTAGACACATGAAAAAAACTTTATCAAACTGTTTACTAAGACTTGTGCATTTACCATATGTAAATTTACCACAATAAAAATGGTAATCCCAGTATAAATTTCAAAAATTCTGAATTAAAAAAATTAGCACAAATGAACTGTCAAAGAAATAAGATAAATACTCAGAGGAGAAAACAATGAGAATGCATGAAATCAGAAAAATATAGAAAATCACTGAAGCAGGTGGCTTCTGTGGTGACATCTGTTTGATCTCATGGTCTAGAACTTCAGAATTGATGGAACACATTTAAAAGACAGGAATATAGCCAAAAGCACACAGAAAAGTGTCAGAATAAGATACCTGCAAAGCCCTGAATTTAAGGATGAATTTGTTCCAGAAAGAAAACTTAAAAGAGATCAATTGCCTATGTTTTGGCTCTTGACAAAGAAAAATAAATTGAGCCCATACCTTTAAATACTGCAGTAAATCTGAGTTCATAATGAATATCCACAAACACGTAAGAAAACAAGGTACCATAGCAAGAGTCAATTGAAACAATAAACAGTAGAATCAGAACCCTAAAAACATTAGATGCTAGAATTAGATGATATAAAATAAGTATATAAAATATAATTTTAAAAGAACATGAAAATTCAAAGTATGAGTAAAAAGAGCATTTTAAAAATAAAAAAGTAGCAATAAAATGTCTTGGTATGAAAAATGTAACAGTTAAAATGAGGAAGTCAATGGATGAATTAAATGATGGCAGATCAGACACATCTGAAGACAATTAAAGAACTGAAAGATAAATCTGGGAGATATAGCATTAAGACATAAATATGGAAAATACGTGTGATTAAAAGACAAGTTAAGTAGAATGAAAGATCTAAAATGCATCTGATGAGCTCTCCAATAATGGGTAATAGAGACAATGAGAAGAGGAACTATTTGAAGAAATGTTTCAGAATTTTCCAAAACCGAGGCAAGTCACAAATTATTAGAATTATGAAGTCCAAAAATTCCAAGCAAGATTAACCAAGAGGCATCTACATGAAGTACATCAGAGAGAAATTTTAGGATGCTAAAATCTTGGAAAAGTTCATAAAAGTAATCATAAAGAGAAGGTAAATTAACTAAAAAGAAACAAAATTATGATTACTTTATGACTTCCCAATATCAATAATGGAAGCTAGATGACAATGGAATGATAACTTTAAGGTGTTTAGAAATAATAAGTGGTAACCTAACTTTGTGTGCCTAGACAAACTGTTCAAAACTAAAGACAAAGTAAAGACATTTTCAGACACCCTAAAACTAACAGAACTTACAACCTCACTAAAAAAAAAAAGAAAAGAAAAGAAAAGGAAAAAAACACTTTTAAACAATGTAAATCAAGAAGTCAGAAAATAATCTGAGAAGGAAGCTCTGAGAGGCAAGAAGAAATGTTGACCAAAGAATTTGATTATCGTGAATAAGTATAAATAAACAATGATGGTACAAAATCAGGCCAATATCTAATAACAATACATGGGATTATTATAAAATAAAACATAAGAAATAAGTAAATTACTGAATAAAAATTGCTTTATCTCGGTAATATACAAAATTGATCACATATAAATGACTATGCTGAGTCTATTCTAGAAATGTATGATTGGTTTAACAGTGGAAATCTATAAATGCGATTTATTGCATTAAAAGACTAGAGCAGACATGTCATATCATCACCTTACAGAGAGTAGGCTTTTAATAAAACCAAAGTCTGCTTTTATTTAACTTAAGTTTTTGCCCCCAAAAAACTATAGCAGATATATCATACTCAAAGGTAAAACATAAAAAGTTTTAAGGAATAAAACAAGGATACCCACTATCACTACTTTTGTGCAGCATTATACTAGAAGGCCTAAAAACTGCTATAAGAAAGAAAGAAAAGGCACCCAGAACTCTCATCATTTGGAAACATGATTATCTATGTGGACATCTTAAAAGAATCTCTAGATTTATACGCTAAAGAAACTTTTCCACACATATATTTATATACCAAAATTGTTTTAAAAAATTAACTAAAAAGCACACATATGATAAGCAACAGAGTGGATAAAGGAATTGCACAATATCCATACAATGGAATACTACATAGTAATGAAAATGGACAGATTATAGCTCCATATATATAATGGAGAGTGAAAAATGTTGAAAAGACTATGGTAAGTTTCGATCATAGAAGTTTCACAAATATGCAGAAGTAAACATTTTTTCAGAATATATATATATATCCTGAAATGCATAGAGGTTAATTAAGTATGAAATGACTGATTTCCTTAAGTACTAAGTTTGACAGTTGATATCTCTGACATTTCACATTGACACTTCTTATTTGATTTTTATCGTGAAGGTACATTCTCAGTCTTTCAAAGCACATTTTGGCTTGTGTTTATCTTTCAAATATTTTTTGGAGCAATTTTTGTGAAACCATGGATAAGTAAAAAATTCATGTTATTTTCAAATATGAGTTCCATCATGGAACCAATGCAGCATAGACAGCTTGAAATATCCACGAAGTGTTTGAGAAGGACGTGCCTAATGAACGCACAGTACATTGATAGTTTGAGAAGTTCTGTTCTGGTGATTTTAATCTTGAAAACGTGCCACGTGGGTGACCTGAGACAAAGGTGAATAATGATGAGCTGAAAGCTGTAGGGGAAGCGAATCCATCTCAACCTACGCGTGAATTAGCAGCAAGGTTTGATGTTACCATTCCAACAATATTGGACCATTTGAAACAATGGTCAAGGTAAAGAAGATAAATAGATGAGTTCTGCATGAATTAAACAAGCATCAGAAAAGAAATCGTCTTGAAGCTTGCCTTTCTTTGCTGTCATGACATAAAGGTGAACCATTTCTACATCGTATGGTTATGTATGATGACAAATTGATTCTTTTTGACAATTGCAAATGTTTGGCACAATGGTTGGATAAAGATGAAGTGCTGAAACACAGTCCAAAACCAAACATTCATCAAAAAAAGCTGATGGTGTCTGTTTGGTGGTTGGTCCAGCGCTGGTATTATTTTTATACTATTTTTATACTATTTTACTATTTTATACTATTTTACTATTTTATACTATTATACTATTTTATACTATTATTTACTACAGCTTCATAAAACCTGGTCAATCGATTACAAGGAATGTCTACTGCAACCAGTTGGATCAAATGATGAGGATGCTTGCAATTAAGCAGCCAAGATTGGTCAATAGAGACAGGCCAACCCTCTTGCAAGACAGCACTCAACCACATGTAGCACAAATAATGCTGCTCAAACTATAGAAGCTGTACTTGGAAACTCTCTGTCATCCACGATATTCTCCAGACCTTGAAACAACTGACTACCACTTCTTGCAGGCTTTGGACCACTTCTTGCAAAGAAAAATATTCAATTCTCAATAAGCTGTGGAAAATGCCTTTTGCAATTTCATTGCCATTTACTCTCCAGGCTTCTTCACTGCTGGCATAAACAAGCTACTGCTAAGATGGCAAAACTGTGTTGATAGTTTAGGTACATACTTTGATTAATCATACTGCTTCTTGTTTGAGATATAATAAACTACACTTTTGATTCATAATGAGACATTTCATATTTAATGACTATATATGTGCATATATAGAGTAAAATTCTAAAAAAAGCAAAGCAATAATAAAATAATTATAGTAGTAATCTCTCAGAGGCGTAAAGAATCTTCAAAGGTACTGGAAATGTTCTGTATTTCAAACTTGGTAGTGGATTTACTGTTTTTTATTTTATTATATTTTAAACTTTAAACAGATTTATAGTCTTTCATGTGCATAAAGTTATCAATATTAAAAATTTTAACTTAATTTCAATTAGGTTATAAATTCCTCAAAATCTGCTTTCAAATAAGAATGTAGGTAAGATATCTACACAAAACATAGAAATACCAAGACTCTACTCTTGCCTTAAACAGAAAAAGAGTTGAGAAACATGAAGGAGAAAAGATAAGGCAAAAAGACAATTACATGAAATAATCCCTATAACAAGGCCAAGATAAAAGATGTCACCTAAAAGAGACCTCATTTGTTACATTTAAATATGGCAGCAATAACTGGAAAGGGGGCGATTAAAACATCAGAACAGTTACAGAACTAGCTAGATGGCTTGCAGTCTTTCCCCCACCTTCCCTTCTTTTTCCTTGAGGTAACTGGAAAAATATCTATCTTCATAGAAGGCACAACGAGCACCGCAGTAACCATGTATCGTGTGTCTACTGTGGTATGGATAAAATATTGGGTTGCGGAAGATGACAAGACAAATAACAACGGTCTCTGCCATGAGGGAGCTTTTCTGACGAGGGAGAGTAAGTTCAAACTTGTGCAGGTTAGGGATTAGGAATACTTTACTGAATATAAGGATGACGGGAATTGTAATATTGAGTGTGGCAGAGACATTAATTACCCCCTGAGTGTGCCTGTGTTCCCCAGAGTTCCCAGCCCCCTGCAGTTCAGTGGGACCACGTGGCAGGTTCTGGTATGAGCCAAGAGTGGAAGTGGTGTGGCCACACAGTGCTGAAGCAGTAAACAGCCAGTTGTATGATCCTCCACCTTCTCTCTTCTCCTGACCCAGAGACCCGGAAACTACGTGTTGAGATGGTGGCATCCAAGGATCAAAGTCACCCGGATTACTGACTCACCATAGTGAGAACAGATGCCGTGGAGAGTTGCCTAACCTGTAGAGGACTTTGTATAAGCAAGACATAAAGTCTTGCTGTATAAAGTAACTGAGATCACAGGATCTATTACTGTCAAATAACCTAGCACTATGCATACATACTGCTGAAGGGAATAAAAACCCATCTGTAGACTTATAAAAAGACATATACCTAATTATACGGAATGAATTGGATGCCTACATTAAGAAAGAAAACTATATAATCTCTGAAAATCCTCCCTGATACTCACCTCAAAAATGTAATAAGAAAAATATATATAAGAACATAGCCTTACTTCACAGCTTTGCCACTGGTTTGGGATACTTGGTCGGAACTTCTGGTCACAAACAACCTTCCTCATTTCCTCTATTGAGGGATCTGAAGGCACCATGTCATAATAAGGCAACTGATACTCCTCAACAATTCCTGTAAGAAATATGCATAATAAAGTTCCCAGTGTAAATAATGAACAAAGATGTCTATTTCAAAATAATACCAATTACATCTTCTAGGCACAAGTGAAACCCCAGAGAGCTGAAAAGTCAGTTTTATTAAAATGATGTAACACTATAAAACCAAGTATATGAGTTTAAAGCACTGAGTTGAATAGTTATATAAAGTTATAAACATTTATATTATGAAAATGGTCACAATTATATAAATGGTATGATATTTATGTAATATATAATTATATGAATTCTAAAATATATATTATATAAAATTTATGTAATTTTATAGCCACATAGAATAAAATGTATATTTTTTCTATTATGAAAATTACATACATTTTTATTTGATTAAAATGCCATTTATGCAATTTAAAAGTAGTGCCTGATTTCTCCTAATTGTAAAATGTACAGCACAACCTCATTGCTTTGAAAATAAAGTATGTATATTTTTTCTTCAAAATAAAACAACTTTTCTCTCTTTGAAAAATTTTAGGTAATTTTTTAAAAGCTGCATTTCTTAAATTTATATTTTAGAAATACTGTAGCTGAGAATGTTCTTGAGAAGCAGATGAAGGTAGTCAAAGATGGACAGTTCAACATGTAGGTTAATACTTAAAGAGCCGCAAGTATAAAGACGAGAATGACCTTAATTATCAAAATATTACTTGAATTACAAGAAATTCCTCACAAAATTTTTTTATTAACTACAGCCCTTTAAAAATATTTAAGACATGCCATAATATTAAAAAAATAACTATAAATCATGTTAACTAAATTACTATTTTTACAGTTGGAGAAAATTTAAGGACAAAAAAAATCTTAATACGAATATGAAATTTTTACAAAAAAATAAGAATTGTACTAAGGCCTTTATTTTAATAAAGGTCTTAATAACTAATTATTCTTCAAAACCACTGACTAAAGAAGGTACCATATTATTTCTATTTTACAGACAAGGAAACTGAGGCACAGAATTTGCTCAAAAATACACAGTTAGTAAGTGGCAGATCTGGAATTCAAACCCAGGCTCAGGGATTCTAGTGTACCACTGTACTTCTATTGCTTCTAGGAATAGTTTCAGATTCCTGAAAGTTTTCCCATGTCATCTATGAATAAAATAGTATATTTTCTTATTCAAATATAATTTAACCTTACAAGCTTTTTATAAAATTTACATGTTTTTTTAAAAACAGGATTAATGTAGTACAAAATGACATCAACACAAAATGCAAGATTTTTTAATATAAAATATTTTAACATAATAATGTTTAATAGTAAAAATTATTAATGTTTAATAATGACAGCTCTTTAATTGAATGTTTACTATGAGCAGGCTCTAAAAGCTTCCTATGAATTAATTCATTAAATCCTCATTCATTAAGCCCGGGGGGTCAGTTTTATTATTATCTTTATTTCACAGATGAAAAAAGTGAGAATAAGTAACTGGCTTAAAATCTAACATTCAAGGAGTTGCTAAACTAAGGCTTAGTTCTAACTCTACCTTGCTTGAAGGTGAAAACTCTAAACCAATTTCTACAGCATGGGGTTTTTTTCTCCACTGATATAACAATTTCATCAGACTGCATTTTTAGGGTTTCATCCTCTCAAATTATTAAGTTCTAAACTTCTGGGAGTAGTAGAGGCAGGAAGTTTGTCTTGCTCATCTCTCCCCATCTCCTTCTCCTCCCACCTTCATATCACAGTAGAGAAAAGACAGACAAGAAAAGCCTAAGAAACAGAACATTTCAAGTCCCTGGGCCTTGGCAAGTCATTTAACTTCACTGGGATAAAAAGTAGGGATAATGGCTAATTGCTTACAAATTTGAGTAAGATAATTTTCAAGCGTTTTGCCAAATATTAGCATGGAAGTCAGAATTACCAGAAGAGCTGTCACCCCTATCTAAGCAGTAATCACAATATAAAATCTCCATTGTGTGCGGGATGTCCCACTTTTGCCACTGGAAAGATAACACTAAAAGGTATTCTCTTAAATATTTAGAAATGATTCAATATGGTGCTTAGTAAAAAAAAAAAAAAAAAATAGAAAATCACATCCTGAGTCCGGAGTACCAAGGAAAGACAGGCCCAAAGAATATTTTCAAAATCTTACCTCCAACTGAACACCTACGGGCTATTTCCCAGTAGACCAGACCAACAGAATAGATGTCAGCTCGTTTGAAGGAGTCAAAGATATTCACATTCATTGTGTCATCAAGTATTTCAGGAGCCATATACCTTCAAAAACATGTACATTTCAGATTCTGTGTATGACTGCATAGCAGCTCAGTAAAACACAGCCTTAATAAATCCTGATGTAAAATATACATTAAGATAGCTTATATCAATCGTAAAGGTAGATCTGATGCACTATGATGGAATAGAATTAAATAATACAGTTATTGATTCAAATAATTAAAAGACATTTTAAATAGAACTCGAGGTCATTTCACTCAGTGTTAAAGCAGGTGTGTCAGGAGCTGCCACAGTACTTAGAAAGTACAAGTTGGAGGGAAATTCAATGAGCAAAGCACTCAGTAAGAGAGATGGAACTCAGTTTCCACCAGTACTTTGTTACCATGGGAAGCTCCTTGAGGGCAGAGTGTGTTTTATTCCCTATGGTGGCCCAAGTCTCTTGCAGGGCTTGGCTGTATTCCATAGAATGAACAACTATATTATACATTGGCTCCAAGAAAATTATAGCCTTTTTTGATCTGGACTAATCAGAAGAAATCTCCAGTCCGTGGAACCTGACTGAGCCTATCTGTTCTAGGGAGACTCTGGAGATTTCCTAGAATTGAAGTGAGGACGTGACATCTTCCCAAGCTTTTTTTAAAATTTATTTTACTTATTTTTTTTTCAGCATATTATGGGGGTACAAATGTTAAGGTTATGTATATTGCCCATACCCCTCTCCCCTCTCGAGTCAGAGCTTCAAGCCTTCCCAAGCTTTTTAAAAAGTGTTAGATCATCTTAAGAAATCCAGCACCTAAAGGTTCCTTGAAGGCCCCTGGTGTGGGGCAGATGAGCAAGTTAAGGTTTTCTTTTTATGAGGAAAGGAAGAAAAGTCCCCTAGGGCTGCCCAGTCTGAATAAACTGCCTTGAAGTGTTCCTGGGGCCTCTGTAAGGTCTCCTAGGGAGCCGAGCAAGGGACTCACAGACACAGTCCTGGAATCTCAAACACAGCTTGGAGGCTAGCTCTACCAGCTTAGAAATTCTCTACTCTCAAAGGCCTTTAATAGCTCCAGGAAAATATTTTGTCTGTTCCTGATTTCACGGTCAAGAACTCTGGAATTATGCTAAAGTAACATAGGCCTAAAACTCCAATAAAAGGAATTAGAGTAGGCTGGCCATATGGCCACAGGATGGCCATAATATGAAAAACACCAGAAATCCCATTACTAATAGGCCTGTCCTGACACACGTGTGTTATGCCCTGTTTTTATCATGCTTATTCTTAACCTTCAGAGTGTCTGTTCTTGGGAAGTGGGAATTGTATCCAAACTCATATTATCTGTGTACATATCGATTTGGGAGACTTAAGGATAAGTACAACTATAGGTAATACATAAATTGTTATGTAATATCTTTAAATATTAGGGGAATACAATAGCATGTGTCTTTATTATATAGAGACCCCAAATGATCTATTCTAATATATTGTTTTCGTATCTGCTGCTTAGGACTTGTACATGTAGAACTAGCCCTGAGTTTTAGTTCATTTATGAGATATAAAGGCTTTGGGGGAACTATACGCTGCTGACAGTTTTTTCTTATCCATAGGGAATGCATCCTCAGAATGTGGCACTAAAAGTAAGACCAACACCATCCCTTCCGTCATTCCTCTCCATGGGACTTGCACCTAAATGGCTGCTGTCCATATGGCCCCAAATGCCAGCTCTGTTTGCTTTATAACCATTGTTCCCACTGACTTCTCAGTGACCTGGAGAAGATATCTTGCTTTCTTGGGCCTAATAATTTCCCATTTGGTCCAGAACTGTTCCCCTTCCCCCACACCCCGGGCATTCCTGTTTATTGGGCAATCATAAGTCTTAGTTTGCTACCAAAGTCATCTTACCTCTTGGTTCCCACTTTAGGATTCTGAGGTATGTCAATAGTGTTCAGTATTGAATCGTGCTTCACAGCCAACCCCAAATCTGCTATGGCACAAGTTTCACATTTTTTCACTAAAATATTCTTTGATTTTATATCTCGATGAGCAATAGCAGGTTTGCCTATGAAACATAAAAAGATCGTACTCATTTCTTTCCTTACTGAAGACTGAGTCTTTCTAAGAGAAAGCATTTTGAAGACTTAGGTCAAAATTAGCTAATCTGTTTTCTTCATAACTCTGTCACTATCTCAATTATCTTGTTTATTCATGTATGTTTAATCACCTACCTCTCCCAACTGAACTGTAAGCTGAAGGAGGGCAGTGCCTCTGTCTTGTTCCTCACCGAGCCTCTAATGCTTAGAACACTAGGTGACATTTAGTTCCCACCAATAAATATTTTTAATAGGTGTGGAAAAAATTAGCATTGCTATGTCCATACAAGAACATGGGAAATACTCTCTTACGAAACAAGTCTCAAAACTTCAACTACCCTAGACACGCAGTTCTGAAATACGGCCCCCAAATCCCTGTGGGTCCTTGAGACTTTTCCAACTACTTATCTGTCCAAAGCCACTTTTTCTTCACATATTTCAACCAAAACAACATACAGGACAGATTGAATGAAGAACATGTATGAAAATCCAGACATTAAACCAGACACTGAAGAGATTTGCAACAATGTCAAACAAAGCCATTATTTTCACTATATTGGTTTTGGCATTTAAAAAAGATGCAGTGCTTTAAAGCTATGTTATTTATGTTAACACTTAATTGATTATTATTTAAGTAAACTAATAAATATTTTTTAAATATCTCAATTTTAACTTCTAATATGGTAAATAGTAATAGATATAACCCACATACACAAAAACTTTTGGGGTCTTCAATAATTTTTAAGAATGCAAAGAGATCATGAGTACAAATCTAACCACCACCTCCCTGTCTAGACTAACGACTCTAGAGCCAACTCTACTACCACAATAAATAGAAAGTGCAGTGGGTGTTATTTGGCCTGAAAATAAATGATATACAAATATTTTTTCAAAATCCCATTACCCTTTCCAATTATTTTTTAATTATCCAAGGTAAATATTTAAATTATTGGTATTCTTTGAATATAGACCATTTGCCACAAAAACAAGATCTCCCAGTATATATGCTAAATTGCAAAGATAGAACCACTGGGAAATAAAATATTTAAAATGTTATTATGCATAATATACAAAATGGTGAGTATATAGATAAGAGTTGGCTATATAATGCCAAAACCTTCAACTTTATAAAGTATCTTAGTGTTTCTTTACATTTCATAATTATTTATAATAAACTAAAATACAGCCAAACACTAAAATACAACTAAGTGTTTCTATCCTCAGTCAAAGAGAAAAAATATTAAAAGGATATACATACCTTGTGTACCAAGAATCTCCATATGAAGGTGAGCTAGACCACTAGCTATTGAAAGTGCCAGTTTGACCATTCCAGCCACGGTCACTATATTTCTATTCAAATAGTCATATAAGGAGCCCTGTTCATGATATTCTGACACAAGCCAAAGTTGAGTCCAAGTTCCATTATCTGACAGGAAAACATAATTTTGTTGCTATAAATATATATTGAGAAAGAAGCCAAAAACTTTTAACACATGTCAGTGTTTAAAGTTAATCTGTATTGCTAACAAAGCAAAGTTTCAGTGGAAATGCTTATAGTCAGGTTAATAAAGGAAAAATTCTGAATGAATTCCTAAAGATGTTGATATCTTAGAACCTGTTATACGTATCCACCATGGAAATAGGAAGTTGTGAGGCTGTGATTCTAACTGAACGACTCCTTTGTTATTCCCTTTATATCAATACCTGCTGGCAACAGCAACCACATTACAGGAGAAACTACTGAGAGATGCACTTAGGCTCAGTGTTGTGTTATAAATTACTCTGAACCTTTAAGAAAGATTGTACCAAGAAAGATCACAAACACAACAAATTTACACAAAGTATCATTACTATCATAAAAGCTCTGACATTCTAAATATACTCATGTTATTTGTCTTTCAAAATATTAAATTCTTTTTCTTCAAAAGCTTATAGTAAGAGGCAAACACAATTACTAGGAACCTGTGGCCTCAAGGCCACGTGTGGCCCTCCAGATGCCCAAGTGTGTCCTCTCAACTGAATCCAAACGTCACAGAACAAATCCCTTTATTATAAGGATTTGTTCTGTGAAATTGGATTCAGTCAAAAGGCCGCACTCAAGCATCCAGAAGGCCACATGTGGCGCCAAGGCTGCAGTCCCCTTCCCTGCTAGACATTTTCAAATAATTTACCTCATTTGGCCAAAAGCGAATCCAGCTTATAAAAGACTTTTGGCAGAAGAGAAATTAGCCTAAAACTTCTCTAGGTAGGTATTAGAGTCCCCAGAGTCTAACTTTTAGCTTTCGGAATAAAACGTCTACAATGACCCTGGGAGGTCCTGACCAGTTCTGACACTCAGGGAAAGGATCTATACGGAACATTTACTAAGAACCTCTCCTGCTAGGTGCTGAATGTACAAGGGCTCTTTGTCATCCAAATATTTAATTTCCACATCCGGGTAGTGATAAAATTCCCTAGCAATGCAAAAGTCAACATGACATAATAAAGTTCAGTAATGAACTGACCACATATAAAACTAACCCTCCTCACATCTCTCCCCCTGGCTGACACCAGTGGCTGTCCTTGCTCTCTCACATCAATGTCTTTGTCAGACCATTGACAAAGAAATAGGACTAAAACGTCAAACTGTAAATGTTGCAAAAGATAAAGGAAGTCACGAAAAGTGACATTAGAGACCATTTGGAATCATGCAAACAACCATTGATAAGTAAGGATATGGCAGAGGTAGACCAGTCAAACTGAAGAAGAGAAAAGCAGAGATAAACTCTCTTGTGTATAGTGCTTTATAATCTGATAAACATCATGATTAAATTAGCCCCATCAAGATGATCCATGTAGTCATTATTTCTCTTACAGCACTGCTGATTAATCTAATCAGTAGGTAGTTCAGCTTCAGATTAGGAGGGAAAAGAAAATGTTCTTAACAGCTGAATGAGAAGTGTCCCATTTTCAATAGCTTGAATATGCTTCAAAGTATATGTAATTATGAATCTGGAAAGAACCTTTGTTTTAGCTCACCTTGCTTTTACTCAGTTTCTCATTAGCAAATCAAAATGACAACATCAATAGATATAATTATGGCCAAAATGTATAATACATGCTAAGCCTCTCTTGTTCATCTAATAACAAATACTTTTATGATCAAGTTTATATTTAGATCAAAATAACCATAGATTTTTAATTTTCATAGTCAGTGATAAATCCCTGACATCCATAGATAATCGGTTTTAACCTATTTTGAGATAGAGTTTACAACTTTGACTCCACCAAAGCTCTTCATAAGTATTACTGACTAGAGTTAAAATTTAAAAATTGACTGGATCAAGTTTTCCTCACTTTTGTTCCTCATTTCTCTTTCTTAGGGATAATAAATAACAGCTAAGTGACTAAACACCTTGCAAAAAAGAAGAAGGAGAACATAGGCAATCCATAAATTTTATATATAGCCTCTGATTATATAAGCATAAATAACAATATTTTATGAGTACTTATTTTAAATACCAGAAAGTAGATGCTCTGTCTTGCTCCATGAAACTCAAAAAGTAACACTGTTTGGCATTATTAATGTTAAGCATCAAGATATAAATCATGCTTAAAGCAACATTAGTAGAAAAATTTCACTAAAGTTGTCTTGCTTGTCACCATTCTGACACAATCTAAAGAGATAATATTCATTAAAAACTTGAGTCCTGAGGACAAAGCCTGTAATAAACATGAAAAATCCAGTACCAACAAAGGTGGACATTCAGCTAGCATTCACTGGTATGTCTGTACTCATTATGGAAATATTGAAATGTGTCTATCCTGGTTGGTAAACAGCTGCTATTCAATATTCCCAATGACACTCCATTGCCCTAGACACCCAAATGCCTCCAGATGTTTCTATGACCCAGAAGCAACTAGAGTTAAGACCTAGCATGGCAGGGTTCTCCAGGACTCTGCTCCAGCTGAGACTTCTCTTCTGATTGGTTGCTTCCTGCGCCACACCAGTCAGCAAACATTTTAAACCCTGACCTGGCTATAGGGACATCGTGTTTTCCTATCACTCATCTGCCCTGCTTTATGGTATGGTATGTACATTTATCTATGGAAAAGAGGAAAAAGTGTTCGTTCCTCAATAAAAAAAAATTAGAATATTATGTAGATTTTATTAAAACAAAGAGATGAATGTATTTGTTCTCATCTGATAATAAACAACATTTTTACTTGCTGAACCCAAGTAAGTTGAAAATACCTTTGTTGTCAGCAGCGATGAAACCAAGGATGTTTTCGTGTCGCAGCATGACTGTCTGATAAATTTCTGCCTCGCGAAACCACGATCTTTCGTCTCTGGAGGAGAATATTTTCACAGCCACGTCTTCCCCACACCATCTGCCATGCCACACCTCACCAAATCTGCCTTTTCCTACTATTTCCTGCAGTATAATCGTCCTTGCAATTGTTCTTTGAACCAACAGAGGCAGACCTAACCAAAGAAGAGAAAGAATTGATGATTAAGAACAAATGTCAGAAAAGAACTGTCACGATGATGGCTATTTTAACATAAGAGACCAAACATTTAAGCACTTTAATAATTTTATTGATTATGAAGAAATAAGCACCATGATACCAAACTTTAACATCAAAGTATGCTCAAAAAATACTTCAAATTAGGAATACAAGTTTCTCTTTTCATATTCACAAGTAAAAATTTTTTGAGCAGAGTCTGCTGCTGCAGATATCTGATTTCCAAGAATTGCTGCAAATCTCTTTCATTTGCCCATCAAAGCCAGTCAAGTTACTAAAGACACAAGAGTAAAAGCAAAAAAAAAAAAAAAAAATTGTTAGCCTCTAAAATAAAATGTATGGTTCCTGGCACAACTAGGAAAGCAAAAGAATTCTTGGTGAATTTTTTCAAAACCAAGTTAAAATTGGGAAGTGTGAAGAATCAAATTCAATGATCAAATGAGGTAATGATGTTACACTAAAAGCAAGATATAGTCATAGAAAATATCAAATGGATATTTTCCGTGGAACAAAAAAATTTCAACAAAAATATATACTGAGTGTATGTATAATATTTATATTCTTTGAACCAATAAATTCACCTCTAGAATTCTGTCCTAAAGATTTAATGCAAAATGCAGAAAAGTTTATACATTAAATAAAAATGTTTAATACATTATTTTTATGTATAGGAAAAAATGAGGAAGAGTGTTGGGTAATAGAAAAATTGTGAAATATAGTGCAGATATTAAGATCACAAGTAAGAAAGACCTGGGTTCAAATTTGGGCTGCTCCACTTGGCAACCATGGGCAACTTATTTAACCTCTCTGAGCTTCATCTTCCTCATCTAAAGAACTGGGCACAATAAATATTACCTATCTCATAGGGATAATATGAAAATTAACAGTCATGTTAAGCACCTAGCATAGGAACTGGCATATTACATGCTCAATAATGGTTAATACCATGCTAATCTTACAATGGATTATTTAGAGCCAATAATGATAGTGCCACTTATAAAGAGGTATTTCTCAATGACATGGGAAAATGCTTTTGCTATCATGTTAAGTGACAACAGCATAGTAAATTTTATCCATATAAATAAGTGTACCTTGATCTTTAAAATATGCACAGAAAAAAACCACTAAAAAGGAAATGTGCTAAATGCTATGATGGTTATTTCTATTTGGTGGAATTGGGGTGAGTTGTGATAATCTTCCTAATTTTCTACATTTTCTTAATTTCCACAATGAGTATTTATTACTCTTATAATCAGAGAAAAAATAATTAAAGAGCATAAATTTATTCTGGAAAAGTCATGCCTAGTTATTGTTAGTATACTCAGATGGCTGGGAAACCTTCAGCTCAATAACCCTACAGCTCATGAAGGCTTTGGCCCCTGCTCCTAACACAAGTCAGTGTTTATTCGGATGTTCTTATGTTCATGAGAACCACCCACTATAGCTAAATAAGCACAGGCTATAAATTTGCTGTTAAAGGTTTCAACAATTAATCACAAAGCCCCAGAGCCAGACAGTTCTTTTCAAATCATCTGCTTCAACTCCATCCTTTTAGAGGTGGGAAAACTGTAAGGCCCCTTGGTAATCAAAGACTTGCCCGGGATTATCCTGCTAGTGAGAGGCAAACTTAGAACTAAAACACTGGTCCAAACTCTTGCTCTCTCACCATTCAATGAATATGATTACAGTTCTCCCCTGTGGGGAAGACTTCTAGTAGCAAATTATAAGGACTGTTTTTGTAGGCTACAGTCAATTTTATTATTTGACCACAACTAAAAGTTATACCAACAATTATTAGGCCAAATCTCAATCTTAGTCTTTCCCCTTCTCTTGCTACCCCACGATCTTACACACACACACACACACACACACACACGCACACACACAAATATCACCAACTGGCTCCACCAATGACACAACAACAAATGGATAGAGAACTAGATAAACCAATGTTTTCAAAGTGCAAATGGATCAAGCACAGGATCAAAGGCATAGATCAGGGACAAGGAAAGGCAACAACATATGAGTTAGTCAATACAGCAATTAAATTGAAAGTAAAACTCAATGAAAGTTGTTTCAATATCTTTCAAAACAACCACCAAAATGAATCTAATTCTTATGTTACATGCCTAAGTAATTTCATTTCAAGATACATGGACTTTGCCTCTCCCTGTAGGTTCATTTTAATCTTCTTACCAGGAGTTGTAGAAGCTGATGCCTGTCTTATTAAAACATACCTTTCAGTAATGTCACTATCGGTCAGAATTGTCATACCATGAGAGGAAAGCGGCAATCTACCCAGTCTCTTGGAAGCCACCTGAGACATAATCCACTCTCAAGATAGTCCAATAAAACATAAGTCCATTTTCCTCTCTTGCAGATATTATAAGTCTTTGAAATTTTCCCCTGACCAGGTCAAGAATAAGCTTCGCAGTTTTTGTTTCTCAGCATCTGACAAAGATGCCTCACATTTAAGGTCATTTGCCAATTAAGAAAAGCAGAGGGAAGCAGAACTGCCCAATTCCCTCCCTAGCGAATGTTTGTGATTGAAGTGTTACTGCAGATAGACTCATTCTCTGATTATCAATAGCAGAGAGGGAGTAGCTACTTTTAGCTAGTGGTCACTGACAAACATATGGCTTTGGGACAAAAAATGCTTAAAACTCTTTCAGATTGGTCTTTAAAGAAATCATTTGTGGTTAGGTACATTTATTATTGCTTTCTTTTTATGAGAGATCTTAGAATAATATGAAAAAGGAGAAAGCCTGGAAGTCAGTAAATTCCAGACTTAGGTTTAAAGATACACAAAAACACCACAGAACTTAAGGTTAAATTTTGATTTTATGCCCTGGCTCGTGACTACTTTCTTAAACTAAATATCCAATCTTCAGTTTTTAAATAGGTATTACTTTTATTTGAAAGGAAAACCCTTGGTCATGTGGGATATATTTAAGGAGTAGCTCCAAGATATATTTCTGCCTAACATCTTCAGATGAACTAAAATGTTTTTGTGGGCATTCGATAGATGGTTATTTAACTGCTTAAACATCATCAGAAGTCATATAAAGTTTCAAGAAATGGTACAAATCAGAGCTCTCTGTGCCTAGCATGCTGCTAATGCATGAAAAATTAGGACATAGCGGGCCTCCAAATGTAATCTTCAAAGAAGGAAAGAGTAGTGAATGCTAACAAGCTTTATTTTTAAAGAAAGAATGCCAGTCTTCTAGCCAATACTTTAATTTAGTTTGGATTCCAGTTTTTATAAACTTTGCAGTTTGGAGATTTTCTTTCCAGCATTCCTCCTTTGAAAACATGCCATTTAATTTATACAGTGGTGATGTAAAACATTTAGACTTTGGTCAACGAGAGGGCAAATGATTTGCCCTAGAAGCAGCAAAATATCTGGGCTCTCTTGATTTGCCATAATTATGCTTCTCTTTTCTGATGGATCCAAAGCTGCCTCATATGAAATATGGATGCTCCGATAGATGGCATTGCCCCTCTGTCGCTACCTCCGTTAACTATGCCTGCCAAGGGCCAGCGGCAAGGGAGTGCTTCAGAATGTTGGGCTACAGCCTTAATGATGCTCCCCAAATGGGAAGGGATGCAGGGGCTTCTGAAGTGGCTCATCTAGGCTTATCCTTGTTCATATTTCTGCAAACCAAGTGCTGGCAAGATTTCTGGAAATATATATTAAAAAGCAGGGAATCCCCTATACCATTTTAGGGACTTTTGTTTTTATGGTATTCTTAGGTGACTTGGCTGTCACCTAACCCACCCTCCCTCAAAAAATAACAACAACAACAACAACAACAAAATACCTTCAAATGATTTTTGCTATAAGAAAGGCTCATTTGGGCCATAATATAGCCTGGTACTTTGAATTGCTTCACTAGGGGCTCTGCAGTTCCACTGAAGAGGAAGAGAGTTATATAACCTCAAGCACCAAAAGCCAGCACAGGAAGGCTGTGCTGCTCCTTTTGATCTCCTATTTCTATGCATTAAGAACATATTCTTGATTTAATTTCAAGTCAGCTCCCTGTTAACTTCACACAGACTTCCTAGGGGATGCAAGGATTCTGAGGACCTTCAGAACCGTGAGCAAAAGTGCTGAAAGAACACTTCTTTGTGTAACTAACATCTTTTCCCCAGAACTCAACACCTTAAATATAATAACCCTAGCTACTTTGTATCCATCAAACATTACCAGGAAAGCAACAGTGATTGTTACTAACCATAATGGGGGAAAGTAGGGAGGAGAGAAGAGAAGTGCTTTCTTGCTTCAGAAGTAAGTTCTAAAGGAATGTAAAAATGAGAGTTTGAACACTGAATGTTACAAAAGGCAATTGGGAAGATTTAATTCTTTAGGCCATGACAGTTTTTCTCTGCATCAAATCCTAAAAGAAGTTTCTATGCTGGAGTTTACCATGTACCCTATCAAGCATGCTAAACAATGGAATTAATAATTTTGGGCCCTTTTTTGGTTTAAAATGTTTCTATTTTTTTTATTTATTTATTTATTTATTTATTTATTTATTTATTTATGCCCCAGGGTCTCACTCTGTTGCCCAGGCTATAGTACAGTGGTTTCATCATAGCTTAAGCATCCTCCAACTCCTGGGCTCAAGCGATCCTCCCACCTCAGCCTCCCAAGGTGCTGGGATTACAGGCATGAGCCACCAAGCCCAGACTATTTACTTTTAAATAAGAGTTTTCTTACTGAAAAATGGATTACGGGCACATACCAGAGCCAGAACCAGAGGCGGTCACATCATAAATCAGGTCTTTAAGGGTTTTTCCAGCGTTTACCAGATTGCATTCAGAGAGTGGTTCCTCTACATTTGGTCTCTTTTTCTTCCTGTAGGCGCACCGTCGACCTTGGCATGCCCATATTGTCAGCATGGCAGCTATGGACAGGAGGCAAACAGGCACAGTGATAACAACAGCCAGTCCCATGGGTCCAAGTTTTGGAACATTTGGTGATGCTGCAGTTTAAAAAAGAAAGAACATGATCATAAACCAACCCATTTTAAATATTAATATCTTAGAAATTTAGAAATGCAATCACCAAAATTTCTCATCTGGAATGCACAGCTACACAGTATGCACTTATGTTCATTGGTAAAGGCTATGGCCTAAGCAAACATGGGGAAAAGGAGTTGAGATTAGGTTGTAGCTAGGAATAGTTCTACCAGGTGACCATGGGAGACAGAATTAGGATGATGGAGAAGCACTAGCAAGGCACATAGGATCATTTTCCAAACCTCCAAAGCATTTGACACTTTTCTGTCTACTATTCCACACCCCTTTATTCAGCAGCTCATTTTTAGAACATATTTGTTCATTCATTCATTCATTCATTCATCACACAAATAATTGTTGGGCTCTTGCAATGGGTCGCCATGATTCTAGGTGCTGGAGATACGATGGCGAGTACAGAGCCCAAAGCCCTGCTCCAGGGACAGATATGTTCTCATACGACCACTACCCAGATTTTTAACACAAAGCCAAGAGAGAATAAGTGCTATGAGGAAAAATGGAGCAGGGAAGAGAGGGAGGGTGAGGGTGGGTGCTGCTTTAGATAGAATGGTTATTATATAAGGCCACTCTCAGGAGGTGTGAAACAGACCAAAGGCAGGAAAGGAGCAGCAACTGAAGGTACTGAAGGTACGGCAGGGAAGCATGTATCTGGCACAGCAAAGCCAGGCCCTGAGGTGGGGGCCTCCGTGTCATAGTCAGGAAAAGTGCCTAGAGTGCAGTAAATGAGGGAAAGAAAGAAAATAAGGCCAGAGAAGTAAAAGGGGGAAAGATCATGTGGGGTCTTGCAAGCCAAGAGGACTATGAGTTGTTGCAGGGTTTCGGCAGGTGAAAAATGTGATCTGACTTTTATTTTGAGTGGCTGCTGTGTGAATAGTAACTAGGGAAGCAAGGATAAAAGCAAAGCAAAGAGATCAATTAGAAACCTAGTGCAAGAAGCCAGGTGGGAGATGATGGCGTTGGCCGACAACCCTACCTAAAATAGCACTTCCTTACCATTCCCCATTCACTCTCTAGCCCCTCGTCCACTTGATTTTAATTCCTGGCTCTTATCACCTCCTGACACAACATATACTCATTTATTTATATATGAGTCTGATTCATATATAAATATGATTCCCTCCAAAGAACATAAGCTTCATGAGAGGAAGAAGTCTGCCTGTTTTTTTTTTCCCAACCACATCCCCATGTTTACAATGGTGCCCAACACTTCATAGATCATCAGTAGATTTCTCTTAAATGGCAGAATCTCTATGAGTTCTACTAGTTCTGTTCCTAATAAGTAAGGGATGAGACTTTTTGTTTAAAGAAATAAATGTGATCATTAAAACCAAGTAAGGATATAATTAAATTTGCAACTTTACTTTTAAAAGCACATACAGCCATTTTTTTTTTACTTTTTCATCTTGCATTTAAGAAATCTTTTTCTAATTTAGAAAAAAGGGATACCTGAAAAATCTATGATGATACATTTTTCCTGTGTTTTTCAAATAAGGTATTTTGACACTTGAAACTGACACATTGTTTCTTTCCAAGTTCGCTAAAAAACGGCCTCAGCATCAATTTTATCCCCATGTCCTACCATCAAGGATGTTGATTTTTGTTTGTAATAAACCTCGAGGTGTATTTGATAGAATACAGGAATAGAATTGAGGAGACAGGTGCTCAAACATCAAGAAGTAGAAGAATCAGGCTCTGGAGAGAGAGAAGCCCAGCTCCAGCTGTGGGCTGCTACCTTCTCACACCCTTAACTCTGAGCAAACGAACCACTAGCTGACTCTGCATTGGCCAAAGAAAGGGTTAGAGACCACGCTTGGAAAGCAATAGCATGACACCTGAATGTTAGAGTCAAAACAAATGACAATGATCGATGGGTCTTGTAAATTACGCCACTCCTCAGATTTCCTTCTTTGCGTTGATGATGCTAGAAAATTTAATAACTTAAATGTGCTTGCATTTTACTTACAATGTATCAAAAGTACATGAATATCATTTGAAAATGAATATTTAATTCCAAAGGAAAAAGAATCAAATTTTTCAAAAATATGTTCATAGCAGTTTCACTATAATCCTAAAAATCATAGTCTGTATACTATCACTAAGTAAAAGATTTAAATCTGTTAAGTGAACTTTGGAAACCTACATAATCCATGCTATTCTATTGCTTTGCCTAAGGAATTTTAACCAATTATCAACCTTCCTTCCCCTGAATGTTTCAGGATTCCTCCAAAATCATAGAAGTTGTACAGATGCATGAAGGAGAGGTTGGCCTGCCTGGAGTGTTTTTATGACAGGTGCTAAAAGAATTCTCTGACTTGACTTTGCTTTAGAAATTATTAACCATGAAATACTTGATACTTTCTAAAGTTTGCTGTTATAAAAGAAATTTATCATCTATTTTACAATGATCTTTCAAACTGTTACCTCTATTTTTATGTCCTCACAGAGGTACTCTAGGTTTTCTAAAAAAGCCACAGAATGCATTTAATTTCCTGCAACTTACGTTAACATCTATTTAAACATGATTTAAATAATAAAATTCCACTATTGAATATATTTATAGGGCTAAATTTTATTTTGATATGTGTTATTTGGAACTATCAATATAAACGCTAGCATTAAAGAGCTTATTGTCTTCATTTTAGTAAAGCTCTATTAAGCAGAGCTCAGATCATCACTATAGCAACTAATAAAGAGACAAAAGGTCAGCAACCCTGAAAATAGAATAATCTCCATAAAAGTGCACTGAGCTAGAGATGGCTACTGCTCTCAGGATGTTTATTACAGATGGGCAATGTTTCTACTTTTGTGAACAAATTTACTAATACAAGTTAGTAAGAAAAAAAAGATTACTCAGCTAGAAAAAGGCTAGCAACACCATTCAGAAAGAACTCCTTAAACACTGAGCAATTTCAAAAGCAAACATTTGTAAAACTATGCTTTAAACCAAATGTTGATTGTAATCTCTAGAAGAGATAAATGAAGAAAACTGTAGTCTGTACCCAATGAATCATGGTAGAGAAGACAATAATGCAGCTAAGAATACATCTTAATAATAGTTACCTTTGATGAACATATTAATTTTTCTATCAGGTTTTATATACTTGATCACAGGAGAACTCTTATTATTTGATAATTTGCAATTTGGAGGACTTTCAGTCCCAAATGAGATATATTTTCCATGGAATAAGCAGCTTCATGGGGGTATATCTTAAACTTCAAAAGTAAGGTGTAGGGAGTGCTACATTGCTAATTCAAGTTATTTCACTCCGTAGCAAATTAAATAAAGAGGATGAGGAAAATGAGAGAAGAGCATTAGCCCAGATGGGTGAGAGTCTAGCTCACAAATATCTCCCCTATATAAGTTCTACAATATGTTAAACTGAGGAAACACAAAGAAAGAGTTAGCAAAATAGAAAAGGAAGGGATGGAGGAAAAGAGGGAAGAGGGGAGGAAGGAGGGACAGAAGGAAGAGAGGAAGGGGAAAATTTTTAATTTATCCTTGTGAATTTTACAACGTCCCCTAGAGATCTGGGTGGAATTGATGATATTGAAAGTCACCAGTGGTTGCAACTGCCCAACTTAAGTTCAGAACTAGTTTAGATGCATCGGCTCCTTCTAGAACAGTTTACTACTCCCATTATCTCCTCACCACTTCCTATTTCTTGCTTTACAGAGGCAAACCCTTAAGATGAAAAGGAAAAAATGAGACAATGTGGGCATGGTCTCCACGCTTCCTCTCCTATTCCTTCTTCATCAAAAGTATGAAAAAGTATTGATGTTTATAAGATTTATATGACCTTCAAATTAATTGATTTATGTTCTTTAGCTTATGCTATTAGAAGCAGATGGCTCAGAATTAAGTGGAGGCGTGTACTTGATCAATTGCTTCATATTGACCATTGGCATAACAATCTTGTAATATAATATCTACATTTGATTTATAGGCATATTTCCCCAGTATATATGGGGAAAAACTAAAAACAAAGGCATTACAATGAAGTGATCTATAGAAACTGAAAACTGGCTAGATAGCTATTTAAAAACAAATTCAGGCAAAGAAAACAAAGGTTTTCATCCAGACAAAGTGCATTTTTGTGAAACTTTTCAAGGTTAGTGCTTGCTTCCCAAAAGTCTCTGTAGCAAGTAGCTACAGAAATTCAAAAGGGCCCCAAATATCCCATAAAAAAAAACCCGATAAACTAATTCAGCATTAAAACCATTCCTCCTTCTTTTATTAAGTTTTTTTTCCACATGAAAAGATAACATTTTGCAAGGTTTAACTCAAGAAAGATATTAATATCAAATCTTCAATGGCTTTTTCACCCCACCTTACCTATAAAAAATTAGAAAACATTTCTTACTCCAGTTTGTGGCTTTGAAATGTTCTCAGGTAATCAACCAAGCAAAAGACAGTATTGTTAGAGATACTTTCTGATGGGTCTGTTCCCCTGCTGGCACCTGGGAGAAATGCCACCACAGTCGATTGAATGACATGATGATGTTCTGTCCTACCCTATCAATCTTCTACGACATAGGCCTGTGACCTTTAATTACCTTTAATTTTAACTAAATCTTTGTTTAGTTCACAGGTTTCGGGGTGGAGGGGGTAAGTGGAAATAACGTGCATAGCTGAAACAGAAGAGAGAATACATTACTGCTAAGACATTCGAAGCTAGCTTGTTAATTAACTCAATAGGAATAATTTCTTTTGTCAGACAGAGTGACATGCTAATCAATGAGAAATTTCTCAAATCATCATATAAACTTCCCTTAACCTGCCACTTCACAGCATCCTTAAATGTGGGTACCACCGTTTCAAATATTTGCTGGATGGTGATGAAAACACATTTCCAACTGGTTTCTTATTGCTTTCCCACACTGGTTCAAAGACTAGATCCAAATGGATTGCTTTGCATAGCGCTGATTGAGAGAACAACTCTCTATC